TGCCCAGAAAATGGAAGTTTGCTATTGGTCAATAGTTTTCACTAGACCTGGGTCCAGATTAAGTTTTTTTAGGAGTGGGCGAATCACTGCCTCCTTTAATGGGGCAGGAACCACTCCCTCTCTTAACGAGGAGTTGATGACCTCCAGGATCAGGTGCGAATTTCCCTAGCAGATTTCTTTATTACCTATGATGGGCAAGGGTCGAGTTGTGTAGTGGTGGCACGAACCGATCCCAGCACCCTGTCCACATCCTCAGGTCGTAACAACTGGATCTCATCCAATAAATTATGACATAAGTCTGGAGCACTGGACACAACCATAGGCTCTGCATCAACAGTGGAGTCCAACTCTTTGCGAATCTGAGCAATTTTTCCCTCAAAGTGGGTAACAAATTTGTTACAGTGACCCACTGAGGAGTCCAGGACCTCCACTGAACCATTAGGTTGAAGAAGGTCCCAAACCACTCGAAATAGCTCTGCTGGACGACACACCGAGGAAGCAATATGACTGGAGAAATACTGGCGTTTCGCCAGCCGTATTGCCACAGAGTAGGCCCGATAATGGGCTCTAAGCTGTGTTTGGTCATAGTCGCAGCAATATTTCCTCCATCTGCGCTCAAGCCATCTCCCCAACTGTTTCATAGCCAGAAGCTCCTCTGTATACCATGGAGCCGTATAGGCTCTGCGGGCAGGGAGAGGGTGCCTAGGTGCGATCGTGTCAACCACCCGGGCCATCTCCTTGTACCACAAGGTGATCTGGGCTTCGACAGGAGCACCAACCATATCAGCTGGAAACTCCCCTAGAGCATTCAGGAATCCTTCAGGATCTATAAGTCTCCGGGGGTGGATCATTTTAATTGATCCCCCACACCTGCAGAGGGTAGTAGTGGCAGAGTCTAAATTTTACCAGAAAATTGTCCGACCATGACAATGGACTCACTAGCCCTCCAATGCTGGTGCAACGCATCTATAGGTTCCGACCCTGCCAATAGCAATTTACTTTCCTCTATAGATCTCAGTCCCACTACTTGGTCCTCAGGGCAGAATGCTCTTTCCTGGGTCTCATACAAGCCTTTCTCCTTTCCAGGAGTACTTCCCAAGCTTGGCTCTGCCACTTCTAAGGACTTTTCCCTATATGGTGGTGCCTCGCTTAATGATTACCTTGTTAAACGACGAAACCACTTTACAATGATTGTGCTTGCAAAATGATGTTCCTATGGGGAAATTTCGCTTAACGATGATCGGTTCCCTGCTGCGGGAACCGATTTTTCGCTAGACAACGATTTTAAAACAGCTGGTCAGTGGCTCTAAAATGGCTGCCTGGTGTGCAAAATGGCTCCCCGCTGTGCTTTAGGATGGATTCCTTGCTTTATAGGCACCAGAAAATGGCTGCCCTATGGAGGATCTTTGCAAAACGAGCAGGTATTTTGCCCATTGGAATGCATTGAACCAGTTCTCAATGCATTTCAATAGGTTTTTAAATTTTGCTTGACAAGGATTTTGCTTAACAGCGATTTGAATTGAATGAATTATCCTCGTCAAGTGAGGCACCACTGTATAAAAGATCCTTATCGAGGCAAGATCTCTCAGGGCATTCAGGAGACAATAAAGTAGGTGAACTGGCCGTTTCAACACAACCCACCAAGCTAGTGTCATCTTTCTGGTCCTGGGCAAAATTATTTTTATTGGGATTCTTTAAAAGGATGAGATCAGCTTCTGCACAATTATTAAGCTGGCTATCCAAGGAACTTTCTCCCTCCAGGTTTCCCTCTGCTCCAGTATCCATTTCTACTGGAGTGGGTGGTCTCTGGCCACCTGGTGAGCGTGTAAATACAAAAGCACTCTTAACATGCTCTATCAAATCCCAACCGATTAGAAAAGCAGCCGGTATTTTCTCCCTATGTTTCCCAGGGACATGTAGCTGTTGGTAGGGTCCTTCCCCTCTATGAGGTGCCTTTAAGGTAAACTTTATATTTCAGGTCTTAATCAGTTATAGACCTCTCTGGGTGTTCAGGGGTCAGTGGAATGGGATTCTCTTTAGGTTTTCTAATACCAACCTTTGAAGTACCGTCTTCATTCTGTTCATCAATACAGGAAGTATCATTAGGGTTTTTCAATATGACCTCCTCAGCCATTTCTGCTATCTCAGGGTTTTCCTCTAAACTGGGTCATCCCTGGTTTGATTCAGAGATTAGGGATTCCATTTTTCACTCAGGGATTGTTAACTGCTCTCCCAGGGCACATGTAACCCCAAAAGCACTCTGCACATGCTTAGTTAGATCTAGTCCGATTAAACAAGGTGCTGGAATTTGATCAGAAATTGCCACATCCCAAATTCCAACCCAGTCTCTATAGTTTATCTTTACTTTAGCTATAGGCAAAATCACTGGAGTAGAACTTATTCCCTTAATTGTAACAGCTTGGTTTGGAAGTATTTGTTCTTTAGGCACCACATCAGGATGACACAGGGTTATGTTGGAACAGGTATCAACAACTCCCACATAAGACTTCTCATTAATAAGAATTTTCTCACAAGGGTTCTGTACTAAAATATTTTTTGTCTTTACAAGGAAACACTGAATGACCCTGGCTAGTGGCAGATCAGAATTCTCTGTCGTGCTAGTTGCCATGGAGACAGAACCACCATTGTTACTACCTCCTTCAGTGGCTTCAGCTAGTTTTAAGCAGTAAACTTTCTTGGCCTGATTATCATCTTCTCCCTCTTTATTTCTGTTTTTCATACAATTCGACTGAATATGCCCATACGCTCCACAGTTATAACACTGTCTATAAGTTTTTGATCATTCTGAGGTGATCTGTTAAATTTTTCCTCAGAGTTCACTCGCTTCGGTGGACTAGGCCCTGGCAACTCAGGCGAGGCACTACTCTGGCCTTCTTTCCCTGATGTTTCACTGAGGTAATTTTTTTAATGGTCTCTTATTGTTGTCCCAGTCTGGCCTGTTAAAATTTACCTCAGAGAACCTGGGGTTTCGGAACTCACTAATAGAATCCGTCTTTTCACCAGCTTCTAATAATTTTAAGTTTTTTGTCTTTGACTAAATAATGCAATTCCCCAGGCAAAATAGAATAAAATTGTTCTAACCCAATCATATTTTTCATCTGTTCTAGAGAAGTGACATTTTCACATTCCACACATTTATCCGAACTGTGAGTAAGTTTAGCCCCTAACTGAGAATAAGATTCTTCAGGCTTTTTGGTAAGGGAACGAAATTTTCTCCTCAGGTGTTCTGCATCTATGCCAAATCTTGAATATACTGTACCATTTTTCTATAGGCTTCAAAACCAGCTCCAGAGGCATCTGAGAATACAGTTCGGGTAAATCTCCACTTATTTGTGATCTCAGAATTATCATCCTTTCATCGTCCTTGATATCAAAGTCCTAACATGCTCTCTCAAATGAAATGAGGAAATATTCTGGGCAATTTCATTTCCTATATTGGGGAAATTTCTTTAGATCAATTTTTGAAAGATTTCCCTCACTAGAGCTGTTACTATTGTTATTATTACTATTGTTTTGGGCAGCAATTTCCAATCTTTTCATCTCTATTTGAAATTCCATTTGTTTTAATTCCATTTAATTCCTCTTGCTCAGCTTTGAGTTCCTGAGCTTTCCCTTCAGCTCTGGCTTTTTCTCTAATTTCCATTTCCCTGAGCTGTAGCTCCTTAGCTTTCTCTTCAGTGCTGGCTTTTTCTCTAATTTCTAATTCCTTGAGCTGTAGTTCCTGAGCTTTCTCTTCAGCTTTGGCTTGCTCCTTAATTTCTAATTCCTTCAATTTAAATTCTTGTTGTAATTTCCAATTTTCAAACTCTTGGGAGCTTAATTCCTTTTGTCTCTCTGAGGCACCCTCATCAATTTCCTCCTGTTCCATTGTAGTTAAAGTGTCTCAATTTACCTCCATTTCTTGAGGTAAACTCTCTGCCTCATGACTCCCCTTCTGGCTACGTTTGGGTAGCATGTTTACATCTGAGTTAATTGGTATTGAGTGTAAGTACTGATTTTAAAAAGGACCTGTCTTTCTGCTTGAATTCCAGTAACTATTGTTGTTGCACTTCCCTCCAGCTCTTTCTGGCTGTTCTCCAGCTAGCAAATCTTAAGTTACTGTGTCTTTTCATGTGTGAGCTATCCCTGCTCACAGACACCAAAATAATTTTATTTCTCAAGACTCTGCTTGGGTTTTTCTATCCCCTCAGATCTGTTCTGACCTCTGGTTTCCACTTTTATCCATAAGTAATCCCTTAACTCTCAGAGCCTTGGATTTTAAACTAGTCACAAGGTCTCTCAAATTCTGAGGTAAATAAAAGGATTTTTTCCTTCAAAGTGATTCCGTATCTTTAGTTCTCCCAGATCTGGGATCAGAAGCCCTGCCACTAAGCTTTTCCACAAAAGCTCTGGTAGGTCACTCACTTCACCACAGACCTCTTTCTAAAAAGGTACCCACAACTAAAAAATTTTCACTTTCAAACTTCTGGCTTGACTGGATTGTTTTGTATCCCACCACTGGACACCAATTGTGGCATTCGCCCTTGTGGCCCCTGTTTGTCTCACTAAACACAGAGCTCACAAAGGCAAACCCAAACACCTCTTGACACGCTGCCGCCACTTGATCTCCTTATCAACTTACTTTACTCAGAAAAGATGAAGGTCTATTCAGTACTGACTTTTTAATACAACAGGCTTATTGATTACAGTGGGTTTATTGAACTCTTCATAAGCACAATCTTCAAATTTCATCAAGCTTCAATATTAACCTTCTATAATTATCACAATTCACACTCAGACTAATCATTCCTCAGACCCCTCCTCCTCTCTCTGATTCCTAACACAGACTGAACTCAATACAACTGACCCCTCCTCTTTCAGGCTATGCCTTTTAACATCTCTTGTGGCCCCACCTCTTAATCACATTAGCATATAACTCATGAATAATACATAACTTATTGCGTAACAAGGGTGAATGCTACACCCTGTTTTACACAAGACTACCTATGGCAACAAGCAGCACAGTCACTCCTGAATGATCTTTCCTGTACTGTACTGTGTTTAGATGCTACATACCTCTCCCATCATCACCTTAGTTTTCTGGGGAACGTTGCACAATGAAAGTGATTGGAAGAGAGTTGGAGCACAAGGCACACAAGACTCTTCACAAAGGTGATGAAATACATAGAAGAGTACATAATTTGACTTATTGGGTTGTGGTGAAGAAAAGAAAGAAAGCTTAGTATGCAATCTTCATTGTGTCTTGAATATCTATCCCATCTGAGCTTTCTTAAGTGGTGCAGGTAAACTTGCAAATGGAATCCTCACAAGGTCACTGTGACAAATTCAACAAACATTCTAAGAACGCTCTTTGTTTTGACTTGATACAGTGTCTGTTCAGGTGTCCTGTTCTAGGTATCAGAGGGCCCAAGGATAACATCCAGATAATCAAAAGTCTACACCAAGCAAAAAGCATCTGGCCGAGTCCAACTGGAGAACAAGTAAATCAGGTGAGGCTAAATCCAAAGGGAGAGTTAAAGACAGCCTGGGGTCAAACATGAAAGAACTGTTGCCCATTTTACCAAGTCTTCCCAGGACTAATGTTTGTGAGTGGCCACAGTGAAAGAAGCGAGGAGGACATCTACTGGGATTTAGGCCTTCTCAGTAGTGGCCCCAGTACTTTGGAACTGTCTCCCTTTGGAGATCTGGCAGGCCTCCTGCTGCCCCAATACGGAGCTGCCCCAATCGCCGCACTCGCTTTGCGATGATCGGGGCGTTCGGTGGCCATTTTGGAGCCGCCGATCAGCTGATCGGCGGCTCCAAAATGTTCTAAGAACGCTCTTTGTTTTGACTTGATACAGTGTCTGTTCAGATGTCCTGTTCTAGGTATCAGAGGGCCCAAGGATAACATCCAGATAATCAAAAGTCTACACCAAGCAAAAAGCATCTGGCCGAGTCCAACTGGAGAACAAGTAAATCAGGTGAGGCTAAATCCAAAGGGAGAGTTAAAGACAGCCTGGGGTCAAACATGAAAGAACTGTTGCCCATTTTACCAAGTCTTCCCAGGACTAATGTTTGTGAGTGGCCACAGTGAAAGAAGCGAGGAGGACATCTACTGGGATTTAGGCCTTCTCAGTAGTGGCCCCAGTACTTTGGAACTGTCTCCCTTTGGAGATCTGGCAGGCCTCCTCCCTCCAGACCTTTAAGAAACTACTCAAACTGAACTGTTCAAAGAAGCCTTTAGGGACATCTTCCCCGTCAGGTAGCCATGGAACCCATGGTCTGTACTGCTGAGGTTTGTCACCACCATGTAGTGATCCATGGTCTCTCCTTTACTGCTGAGGTTTGTCACCACCATGTAGTTTCCTTTCTTAGTCTGTTCATTTGCTTTATTCTTATTCTCATTCTTCTTATTCTTCTTATTATTTTAATTCTTATTATTCTTCTTATTATGTGTTAACCTTTATGGTTTGAAGGTGGGATTTATGTTGCGGTGTAAGACTGTCCAGAACAGTAGATTTCCACTAAGTGGGGCAGTATAAAAACTGAGTGAGTGAGTGAGTGAGTGTCAAGTCCGGTCCAGCCAAGTCCAGTCCAGTCGAGAAGGATGATTTTGGCAGATGTTAGCTCTTAGGATTTATTAAGCTGAGCTTCCAGAGCCTCAACAGTACCTCACCTGCAGGCACCTTGCCATAAGTCTTCCTCATGAAGGTCTTGTTCTTAAGGAGGCTGTTGCAAGCAGGTGTTTTATTAGACACTAATCTTGACTATGCTTTCAGTTGTTGGCAAGGAATGTTCACTCTCTGTGGCTAGGTTGTGATCCTGACTTGTCTCTGACTCTAGGACTAGGCTTGAAACCTAGTTATCAATAAAATATTTCAACATCCTTTTCTGCAAACTCAAAAATCTTCAGAGTGGTCTACTCCTTGGTGGCCAGGAAGCTCTGAATCTTCATCAAGGGAGGACCAGTCCACTAAGAATATGGTATGTATTGTCATGTACTGTTTTGCAGAATTAGTTTTAGTTTCTTCAGGCTGAGGGCTGGAGAATATTCCAACATTTGTGTAACTCGTGATGTACTGTCTTGCCCATCATGGCTCCTCTGAGCTAGCTGTAGTAGATTGGGTGGACCTGCAAAGTGACAAATGCATCAGTGATTGATGGCATGACTCCCCCTTCCCTGCTTTGAAGAAATGTTGATGAAAACACTCATGAAGGGGGGAGTGGTCGCCTCCCTTGAACTAGAGATTTATACTACCATCTGGTCACAAATGCCCTCAGGAATGGCAGGGGCAGCAACACGGTGAATGGCAGTATTTCATTTTCGGGTGCTCTTGGATAAAGCTGAATCTTACTTTGATCTGCTTCAGACAGGATTTGATGCTTGTTTGAGGACAGAATTAGCTTTGGCTACGTTCACCTAATCTTGTCTGTTTTAGGGTAGAGAGGGACAACCTCCTCAAAATAGAATGGCAGGGTGTTTCAGAGCATGAATGGATCCCCAGTTCTGACATCTGTATAGGAGAGGCCACAAAAAAATTTGAGACAAACTATCAATATGCAGGAGACCCCCACTTGTTATTTCTCTGCAACACTGGAATCTGAAGAGGCAACTGAATGCTCTGGCCTGGTGCCTGGAGGCAGTGTTGAGATGGATGAAGGTGAATTAACTGTTCATCAGCATTGTAGGGATCTCCATAATGGCAGGAGACATAAATGTTAAGTAATTGCAGTAGGGATATTATAGCTGTTCAACTTGGAGTACAAAGTGTTGTCCTTTTTCTCTTTATTCCAGGGTTTCTCAAGACTTGGCTCTGAACAGGAACTTCAAGCTTTCAATATAATTACAGTTTGTGTCAAATTGTGATCAAGTACAATTGACTTTTGCCAGGAAAATCCAAACGTGCTAGTAGCCAAAATGGGGACTCTGAAAAGGTCTAATTGTCAGCAGTTTTCCCACACTGGAGGTGTGTTCATGTTCTGTTCCTTACTGAGCCCCTTCGAGATTTTCCTATAGTGGCTGCTTTAGAGTAGCCATGACACAACAATGAGGTGTCCTTATTTACATTTCTTGCCAAATCAGGTGAGGAGACACAGGTGGCTTCTCCTCTCCTTTCTTTGCATATCCCTGTTCCAGGTGCCAGCTTCAGAACTTGAGGAGTCCTGAGGGAAGCATCCTCAACGGCTCCCATGAAAGAGAACCAGCAAGCCAGCAAAACAGTCTCTCACACTATCTTGGACATTCCTGGGCGCTCTGTGGATCTTGAGAATGATGAGTCTGAAGTAAATGTGGGTCAGAGGTTGGATCGGACAGGGATACTTTTTTTAAACTACAGCTCCCAGAATTCCTTCCACCAGCATTACCATTTTGATAGGGGGATGATGGGAAAGGTAATCCAAACATGTAACATTTTTCAAACTCTGCTGTCTGCCGTGGTATCCTCTGCAGCCAATCTTAAAAGGTTTATTTTCAGAGTATATATTTATAGATTTTACACGGGGATAGCAAGAAGAAATTCCCCTCCTTCCTTTCTCCTATGATACTACTCAACAATATCACCAGCAGGTCCAGAACCTCCAAAAAGAAGCACTGATTCACCCAATGCACAGGTGGCTGATTGAATTCTCTTCCACTGGCAATGGGCACCAGGATGGCTTTTAGCAGTTTTTACTCAAAATGAAATACAAAAGTCATGGTGAAGATTCTTTTCCATAGGTTCAGTCAATAGTCCCATAGTCACTTTGAGATGCCTACAACCATACAGTCAGGGCATATCATGGGGAATGCTCTAAAATCATGAGAACCTTTCCCACAAAATCAGCATCACACTAAGATGCTGCTCCTGTAGGAGAGTCACAGATAATAGGACTCCATCTATGTTGCTCATGAGCCTTTATGTGCTTGATTTACAAGGGACCTTTTTGCCTTAGGGGAAAAAGCAGGTTTTGTTATCATCATCCATATGCAGTTATATTTAAACTAGACTACTGTAATGTGCTCTGTGTGGAGCTGCCCTTAAAGATACTTTGGAGGCTTCAGCTGGTGCAGAATGCAGTTGCTTGCAGGACTTGGGCAATCAAAGCGTATAACTTGATTCTCAGCTGTACTGGTTACCCTTCTGTTTCTGGGGCACATAAATTACCCCCAAAGCCCCAAATGGGTTTAGACCTGGGTAATTCCATGTCAAATCAACCAATGCATGGAACCTTGCTGTCATGGATTTGGTTCGTTTTTGGTACATTTGTACCTTTCCATGAAATGTTTAAAAAAATATTTTTTTCAGATTTTTTGGTCCACCTGTTTCTGAAGCATGCAAAAAAAAAAATGCCAACATTCACTAGCCACCATAACTTCAAATGTCATTTTATAGATGCCTCTAATAGCTGTATGCAAAAAAATGCCAACATTCACTAGCCACCATAACTTCAAATGTCATTTTATAGATGCCTCTAATAGCTACAGACCTGGGACAAGTGTCATTTTAAAGCATATGAATAGGACTTTCATTTGATATATAACATGATGCAATTGTACATTTCAAAAATGTACACATTTAAAAGAATTTAAAATTTGAATTTTTGGCAAAACAGAATTTTTTAAAGTTTTCAAAAAATTCACACTTAAAGATACATGTATCCAGTCAATCCAAATTTCAGGCTGGTTTCTCAGTGGCATCATACAAAATATTCAGTTTCCTTGGATAAGAGAATGATCTTGCTGGTCCAGCTGGATGTAAGAATAATAGCTTGACTTCACATTCTGCAGCATCCATTGAAAGAACACATCCCATCCACCATGAGTTGTCATAGGCACAACCTATGGGAAAAATAGGAGGGCCTGGCGTGCTCTGGTCCATGGGGTCATGAAGAGTCAGACACGACTTAATGACTAAACAACAATGGGAAAAATCAGGGATTTTTTTGATAGGAGATGCCAGATCATCGTAGAATTTGTCTTTGACTTCTGTTGTGGATGACAGTGTTGATGCATCTGCACTAATGAGGGTGACTGGTCCTGTTGATGAGCCGAGCTGCAGAGACAGGATTCTTTCACTCCCCACAGTAGGTGGAAAAATGGATCTCAGCAGAGTATTTCTGACCGCAAAGCCAACACCATGTTCTCTGGTCTCATTCAATGGTTTTCCCTGCCAGAAGAATGAGAAGTTTTTTTCTTTGACAGATCCCATGTCTGTCAATCTCATCTCTTGCAGGTTGATTGTCACATGGTGCAAGATTATCAATCTGCTTGTTGGCTTTCACCCTAAACCCCATGCACCCCATGAGGTTAACAGACTGTGGTGAGGTAGCACCTTACTGGCTGGGGACTGCCCAGTTTAAGGTAGGTGGTAGCTACCTAGTGAGGTGCAGTGACCTCTCCCAACATCGGAAGTAGCCCCTGACATCATGCTCTACACCAGTGGTCCCCAACCTTGGGCCTCCAGATGTTTTAAGGTTGGGGACCACTGCTCTACGCCAATTGAGCAAAGACTTATAACCGATAACTGCTACTTCCCATGTTGTTTCAACGCTGTATGTGAAGCTGGAGTGTCCTCTCCAGAGCACGAAGCCTGGGTAAAATAATATGGAGGATAGGCTGTTACCCAAGCAGCAAATCCTCCCTTTCCACATTGCTGAAATAGTCCAATGGAAAGACAAGAGCCAATACAACTGGTTCCAGTGACGTCGCAGGAGTCGCCAGAACGACACAAACTGCCTCCAGGACTCTGGCTCCAGATTTTGCCTTGAGGTTAACTCCTGAAGACTTTTCCATCAGTGGATATAGCCATGAGGCAGTGGAGGTTTGAAATCAGAGTTTTCCTTCTCCTTGATGGGCTGCCTTCCAAGGCTGATGAGCCCCACCTACCCAGTCTTCTCCCTAAAAGTGCGGAGATTAGAACACAGGCCTCCAGCTGCCAGACTTTGTCTTCCAAGAGGACCACCAACTAACACTTAGAGCATTTCTACCCAGGCACCTCATTGGCAAGAAAACAAACATGCCACAGGTGTTACAAGTGCAACAGATCCTGCACTCTCCATCTCGACTGATTGGTCAGTGAATTAAAAAAGGGAGGAAGCCTGATCCTACCCCTAAAACTTTCCTGCCCCCCAGGTGTATGCAATATGATTTGGCTTTCCTATTTGCCAGATTAAAAAATAGAATCAGAGAATTTCGCGCACTTCTGCCAGCCCACATTTAATGCCAAACCCCCACCTCCTCAGACCATGCGGTCAGGGAGAACAAAGATCAGCCTAGAAGAAAATACCTCACCAAATAAAATGTCCTCCCAAACATATGTGTTAAATACTGGCTTGTTCCAGGCTGTTTTTAACCATTCATTATGGAGCTTTGTACATTGTTAAAATGTGCACTTTTTATTGTGTGAATTTTTAGTGTTAATGGTTTTCAGAAATGTTGAATGTTCTATTTTTAAAATCATTGCTTCGGACATCCTCTCCTCTTGATCCCTGACAGCATGTTTAAAGCAGACCAGATTTGCAGAGCATATGTCTGCCAACAGCAGCGCGTCAGCAAAGTTACATGGAATGGTTAAATCCAGGATTCCAGAAGCAGAGCACCTCTATGTCCCAGGTGCTATAGACAAACAAAAAGGAAAGCATACTGCTTTCATGCTTGTTTATCTGTTCCCTTGAGGCGCCAGACTGGCCAGCCTCTCCTGCTTTGCCTCAGGTGCATGCGGCCACTCCTGGCTGTAAGATGAGTCCATCCTGCCTCAAGGTCTCTCTCTGCTCTTCTCTTCCTAGTTCCATGCCGCTACAACAGTCCATGGTCAGAGGTGTCACTGCTATGTGGTTTATGGTTCAAATTCAACAGTAAAACTTTTAGAGGGGTTGTTTCTTAGGCTGAGCAATGGTAAGTCTGAGTTGTTCTTCTGAAACTAAACTGAATATTCAGAACACCCATCTGGCTAGCTTCATATATTATTTCAGATTCTTACATAAGCAGTCATTTATGAAAAATGCATAGCTCCTTTCCTATTCCTTTGTTAAAGTTTAAGATTCAACTGCAGGTACTGTAGTCAGAGCATTGCTGGCAAATCTCCAGGCTGCTGGGAGATCTGCAATCTTTGAATGAAATAACATCAGCTTGTAATAACCGTATGGCTGTTCTTCCCATTCTTCCTGTACTGGCTGATGAAAAAGATTCCACTATGTTTTCAAATGGAGGATTGTATGTCAGCTCTCTTCTTGTCTTAATGTGGAGTGTGACAGGAATCCCATAAGTTTTCCCCTGCTCTGACAAGCTTCCAGATGACACCGGTCTTGCAACCAGTACATGATTGGGCATGTAACAGACATACTGTACTGCCTGCTGAAGCTGGACAGATACACGATTACCCTTCTGGTCCACTTTTAAGCAATAGGATACCAGCCTGTGTATAAAACCAAGGAACATGGCATTCACAGGCTGTTTCAGTGACTGAATGAAGATTGCTCAGCTATTATCAAAGGTGGCCTGCCAAGGGAAAAAAAAATCATCTGGCTCTGTGCCTTCCTTACCTTTCTGCTTTTTGCTTTCAAAGGAGTCTTAAAAGGTTATGTTTGTTTTTGATATGGTCTTCATATTTAAATGCTACTGGGAATTTTAAACTCAGGGAGTAGGAGCATTTTCCTTTTAAACAGTCCTAGTAATCCTTTGTGAGGATTTCTTCAGGCACTGGTAGTAGCTGACAAGAAACACAAACGAACACATGCACACACACACAAAGTACAGCTCCTCCTCCCTAACAGACAAAATCTTTGAATACATCTCAAGATTTGTTAGCAATTTGCATTCAGAGAGCCACAGAGATAAAGTTCCAACAGTTCCTCCTAAACTCTCCATATTAGAAAAGTGACAGGTTAGTTGGAACATTTTGGTGAATATTATTAGAGAAGGTAAGCAAATCAGTGGTAAAGGTTTTAAATATAAATTGATTTTACTGTATTTGCTGATGATACTTGATTACCAACAGGGAACCTTTTAATGGTTATGGATTGGCTAAGCATTATGGTGGAATACCACGTCACTCTGTCTATCGTAGCTGAAGCTCAAGTGCAGGAGCCTAAGAGAAGACAGGAGGGGCAGAGTCAAAGAGACAGACAGTTGGAGAGAGAGAGAGAGGCAGTTAGAGAGGGGAATTGGAGAGAGTTAAGAAGAGAGAATTGAAAAGTTGGAGAATTAGAGAGAAGGAGAAGGAGATAAATGGAATAGTAAAGCTAAATAGATAGTCAGAGAATATTAATGAGTTGGTTAATGTGAATAAGTAAATACAACAGATGTTAATACTTGGAAGTTATTAAAGATTTAGGCATAAATATTCCAAAGAATTTAGAATGATCAGAAGAGGATTTTAAAAAATGAAGCAAGAAATTAAAAATAAGTTAGATGATTTAAAAAAGATGGTTGTTGTAGGTATTTTGGGCTGTTTGGCCATAATCTGGAGGTTTTGCTTCCTAACGTTTTGCCAGTCTCTGTGGCCGGCATCTTCAGAGGGCAGGAATTAGAACTCTATCTGTGTTCTGGTGTAGTGTGTGGGATAGTTGAGTATTTGTAGCTGTCGGATCAGCTTTTTGTCCTTTTCAGGAGATTGGGTGATTATGGTGATCAGGGTGTTTTTTTTGTTATGGGTGTATTGTTGTGATAAGGCGGGAGTTGATCTGTCACTGTGATTGGTGGGTGTTGTTAGCTTGTCATTTGTGTGCAGTGATCACTGATCCTTATGGCTGGGTAGAGTTCATTGACATTTTTGCAGGCTGTATTTTTCAGTGCTGGGAGCCAGGCTTTGTTGAGTTTCAGACTTTCTT